TTATCTTGATATATAGCTTGTATTTTGTTTCTGCTTCTTTCTCTTTCTTTTAGATATAAAACATACGGAAATTTACTCATTTTACATGGGTACCTCCCTTGTATACATGAAGTATACATCTTACTAAACTTCTGTTTTATAGAAATAAATATTATGTATATATAAATATATGTATAACCTAAAGAAAAAGAGTAAAATGGGCATTCATATTTTGATAACAGATTATTTTTAAAAAATGGAATGTGTCTTTGAAGCCCTGAACACAGCTACTTTTCTATTTATTTACTGAGCACTTAAGTTGGTTCTCTGATTCTAATCAACATTTTTCTGTCATTGCCTTTCTCTACATTGTTTTGTATCTCTTTCATTCTGTTGACATTATGTCAGTAAAGATCTCTAGATCTCTTCTTCAAAGTCTTTAAATCATCACATATCTGTCTCCACCTTTCCTTTTTTCTAAAACTGCCTGTTTTCTTTTTCTCAACTCAGATATTAAAGATGTTTCCTTACTTCTCTTTCTCTACATTGAATGATCTCCTTGATGCTTTTTGTGTGTACTTTTTTTTCTTCTTATAAACTGTGGTCAACGGGTATCAAAATGTATTTTTGTGTCTTTTTCAAACATATATGTGTTTTACATTTTTTATCTTGGTTACTCATCTCTGGGTTATGGTTTATGTTTACTAATAGGTCATTTTATCTTAGCATACCAAAATGGATATGAATAGTTTATTTATTAAAAAACTGTATGGTTAGGCCAGGTGTCGTGGCTCAGGTCTGTAATCCCAGCAATTTGGAAGGCTGAGGCAGGTAGATCATTTGAGGTCAGAAGTTCAAAACCAACCGACCAACATGGTGAAACCCCATCTGTACTAAAAATACAAAATGAGCCAGGCATGGTAGCACATGCCTGTAATCCCAGCTACTTGGGAGGCTGAGACAGAAGAATCGCTTGAAACCAGGAAGCAGAAGTTGCAGTGAGCCAAGATCATGCCATTGCACTTCAGCCTGAGCAACAAGAGTGAAATTCCATCTCAAAAAAAATACAAAACTGTATGGCTATAATATCACTTTACCTGCTATATATGCCATAAAATTGTTCTGCATATTATTTATCTAAGATTATAATTTCATATAGAATGCTTTCAAACTATGTTCAGTTGAAACTGAGAGGAGCACAGTTTATAGCTTTGTTTCTTTGATATGCCATAACATAATATCTGTTTAAACAATTATTATTTACTTTTACAAATAATTGACTTACTAAATCTGTACATTTCTGCAGATATAAGAAATGCCTAGAAATGACAATAAATATGTTAAATGTATTTGGAAATGAAGACTTCAGTTGCCATGGAGACTTAAATACAGATCAACTGAAAATGGATATTCTGTTTAAGAAGCTAAAACAGAAGGTAATTTTTAAAAAATAATTATTTTATCTTAAGGTCTAGGTTACATGTGTGAGACGTGCAGGTTTGTTACATAGGTAAACGTGTGCCATGATGGTTTGCTGCACCTATCAATCCATTACCTAGATATTAAGCCCCGCAGGTGTTAGCTATTAATCTTGATGCTCTCCCTCCTGACCCTAACAGGCCCCAGTGTTTGTTGTTCCCCTCCCCAAGTCTATGTGTTCTCATCATTCAGCTCCTACTTATAAGTGAGAAGATGCAGTGTTTGGTTTTTTGTTCCTGTGTTAGTTTGCTGAGGATAACAGCTTCGAGTTCATCCATGTCCCTGCAAGGAGCATGATCTCATCCATTTGTATGGCTCCATAGTATTCCATGATGTATATATATACCACATTTTTTTATCCAGTCTATCATTGATGGACATCTGGGTTGATTCCATGTCTTTGCTATTGTGAATAGTGCTGCAATGAACATACAAATACATGTATCTTTATAATAGAATAATTTATATTCCAATATAAGGTAATTTTAAATCAGATTGGGGATTAAAACTCATGTAATTTGGGGAAATATTAGTGCTGGAAAAACCCAAATTCTACCAAAATATGTTTAAGGAAGTTTATTCTGAGCCAATATGGTGACAGTGGCCCTGGATTACTGAATCTCAAGAGCTCTTGAGAATGTTTCATGGGACAGTCAGATTACAGTTTGGTTTTGTACATTTCCAGCAGACAGAAGGTATAGGGAAAATCACAAATCAATATGAGGAAGGCAGACACTGGCTCAGCCTAAAAGTGGGACATCAAAAAGGAGGGGCTAACAAGTCATAGGTGGGTTTTGGGGATTCTTTAGGTGACAATTGGTAAAGAAAATCTGTTGTCTAAAACTGGAAATAGGTAGAAAGGAAGGCCTTAATTAAGATAAGGTGGTTACGGAGGTTAAGGTTCTTATTATGTAGACAAAGCCTCATAGCTGACAGCCCTCAGAGAAAATAGAGGGTAAAAATATCTTTTCAGACTTTAAATGCATCAGGCTCTTAGTTAATCTTCCCTAGATCTGGGAAGACCTAGAAGGGGAGAGATTGGGCTACATTAATGAAGACTTCTTACAGATGCAGTTTCCCCCACAGAAGACAGCTTTGTACGGTCATTTCAATTTCTTGGTCCTGCAACAGCCATTTCAAAATATGTCAAAAATATATATATTTGGGGGTAAAATACTTTGATTTTTTTCAGGTTCTTCTCTCTGTGATGCTGTACCAGAATCACATTAGAAAGTAAGCCACGTCGTAAGAGTTAATAAAACCTGTCTGATGAGATTTGATAGTTTGAAGGGTGTGATTCCCAGACCCTTTAGATAGAAATTGGGGCAAAAGAATACAAGGTCTTTCTCCTCAATATAAATCTCTCAGTGCTTTAAGCAGTGAAAGATTTTTCATTTAATTTTACAGACTTGATGCTAATAAAAAGGATACTTTAATGTATATATTTCTTTACTGAGAGCTTTCATTTCACTTAATAAATTCTGTCCTCACCATTTATATATAGAAATATATATATATTTCTGCTCTAAAATATTTGGAAATAATAAATTAATCATAATAATAATTGATCCTCACTTTTGGAATCCCTTTCTTTTTTTTCCAT